CGCTCGTGTTTTCGGCGGTGGACCTCGGCTGTGGGTTCTATTCTTGGCGTGGGGCGTGTCTAGATGGCGGCTCGCGGCAAGAAGATGCCCCACCAGGTGTAGGCAGGAGGCCCAGGGGCCAGGGCCAGGGCCAGGCGGGCCGGTGTGAGGCTCGTGAGGTGTGGTCAACTTTCTCCTCTCCTCCAGTCAAGTCCAAGGTCATGAGCGTCATCACGAAGTGTGCACCCAGTCCAACGTGGCCCGTGTTAGGTAGCATGGGCGTTGCCGTGGCGTTGCAAGCCCTTCCGGCCCGCCGGCCTTCCACGGACACCACACCGCGTTTTCCTCCAAACCACTGCAACCACTACGTAAAAAGAAAGACCGGAAAATTTCTCAAAATTGTCACTTTTCAACCACACTTCACACTAAATATTATGTACAATATTGTACGAGACATGACAGTTTTTGGTGCACACGAAAGTTTCGTACACTTTTCGTACGAAAAACTGCTCATTTTTCGCCATTTTTGTACAAAATTGTGCGTTTGTACAAATTTGTACGAAAAGTTCGTGCGCACAAAAAACTGTCATGTCTCGTACAAAATTTGTACAAGAACATTAAGTGTGTTAAGCACTGAAATCAGAGCACAAAGTTCTACTCCTCTGCCAAGTCTTAACAAACTCGTAAAGAAGATTTAGATACTGCACGAGGGGCAACATTGGGACATTCGCAAATATTTTCTCTCGAATATGTCTCCTTTTTTAAAAGAAGGACACTGGGAGTTAAAACCCCATGGCTTGAAAGTATATATTTTGTTTTAATGGAAGAAGAAAAACGGCTTTTCGATCTCCCAGCGAGCGGCGGAGACAATTGTGGTGCTGTGCAGGTCTGGTTCTCACTCCCAGACTGCTCAAAAAACGGAAAGTGCCTACTAGGCGCGCGCACACGCGCACACGCGCACACACTAACACACACCAACACACCAAAACACACACCACACAAACACACGCGCACGCACTGCGTGACAGTTCAGCGCCTCGGACGCTGCGTAGACCGCGGTGGAGACTGCAGTGCCTGGGAGCACGGGAGCTCTCTGTACACTGGTACACTGACTACTGACCCTGCCCAATCCAGAGACCTCGCGGCGCCGCAGTTTCTGCTTCCCGGGTTGTCTCAAGCTCAATGCGGACAGAAGACACAGGCTGGGCTCGCAGGGGGCTTTAGACCGAGAGTCGTTTTCATCGCTCCTGTCTCTCCCGCACTCTCAGTGCGTCCCCTATGTGTGCGAGAGAGACAGAGCGACGAAAACGACTCTCGGAATCAGTCTGCTGCCTTGGAGGTCCGATGCCGAAAACGGGGAATTTCGAGAAATTTCGTCGCGGATGCCTTGCCTGGCCGTCCAGGGGACTGGTTCCTCTGGCCCACTTATGATGTGGATGCAGGGTCTCCGAGCCACTCTGAGTGCGCCGCTGGGGAAAGGGGGGGGGGGGAGGGGAGGGGGGGTTAAAGAAAGGGAAAACGAGGAGCCATTTCTTTCTTTTTAACATTTAATTTTCATTAATGGAGATGGAGGTATCAATAAGGGGCGTGGCCTCCTTCCCGTTGGAGGAGCACACAACACGCCGCGGTGGGTTCCTTCATCCTCTCCTGATATCATTTTTTTTGTGGGGTGGGGGAAAGCTGGGAGGACAGGCTAGGGGAATAGCCTCACGGTGTTGTGAATGAGCACTCGGTTGTTGCACACACTGCTAAACCAAGTGTAGCTGGACAGGTACCGAGGGGTCCACTCGGAATTTAAGCGTGCGTGCTAAATTTGTACGCAATTTTTGCACGAATCAGTACGATTCGGCGCACGTACCATGGTACCGAGGGGGTAACCACTTCAAGAAATCGTGTACAGACGACTCGGTATTACGCTGTATTACGGGGGTATTACACGTGTATTACGGCCTTAAAAAGCCAAAATTTGTCACATTTGAACCATAAATGGCATTACGATCACGTGTATTACGCGTAATGCACGGTTTTTGTGTACAGGGCATTACGCGAGTGGTTACCCCCTCGCATGGTACGTACATACCAATTGTACAAAAATATTAGCAGGTTTAAAATTGTGAGAGACCGCGTACAAAACTGTGCACATACATTAAACGTGCGCTCGACAGTGAGCCGCCAGTGAGGCGGTCTGTCTCAGGAACGAGCAGGGCGCAAAACGTTTTCGTCGCTCTGTCTCTCTCACACTTAAGGGCCGTCCCGTCTAGGTGCAAGGGAGACAGAGCGACGAAAACGACTCGGAATCAGTCTGCAGTGCAGATTAGCTCCTTTTCCCACGGCCGTCCACCTCGGTACGTCCACCCCTCTTGCAGTGTGCACACAGCACGCACCGCACCGAGCGGTTATACCGAGTTAATTAATAAAGGTCTCGCGATGGGAAACCCGGCCGCGCGCTCTGTCGCTCTCGCACCGGTGCGGGGGTCGCCTCGCGAGTGCGAGAGAGACAGAGCGACGGCCGTACGCCGGG